CCATCGCTCATTTTACCACGTTCATTATTATATTTATCCATTAATTTACTGGCTTGAACTTATCACAGATTTTATTTGTCTAGAGCAATCTAGCTTTGATGTAGCCTATATTAGTGAACTAGATGTAGCGTGGAATGACGAGAAACTACAAACTCTTTTAAATCCAGAAGTTTTTTTATTTGGCAATCACTTAGCACAAGCTGCCTGTAGCATTGATTGTGCTGCTTCTACGGTTGATTTACCAAGAGACGAAATGTTTTGGTGTGCTGGCTGCTGGGGTAATATTTATCCATTTTCGGGGGCAAATAGCGATCATGTTGGTGGTATCCAATCAAGCAGTCTATATGCTACTCGTATTCTTGCCAAGATGCACCGAATAGGACTCGCTCAGGAAACATCTACATCGGAAAACACCTCTCCTGTAGGTGGAGGAAAACTATGTCGTAAATCAAGAGCATTAAAAATTAAGAAGAGTCAGTACAAGCTGCAAATGGTTAATCCGGTATCAACATCAAGTGGGATAGGCTGTTTTCCACTTGGATTATCGGACATGTTGTACTCTGCATTTAAGGAATATCCCTATGATGGGCAGGATTTTGGTTATTTAATTTTTAGGAAGGTTAACTGCTGTGCATTTTAATCTAATATCATATGCAATTATTATACTATTGATTACTTCATATATAGCTAGTACACATGCAGCGACAGAATGTGATGATGCCAATAGTAAGAGCGATAATCAGTACAAGTTGATTCAGCAAGCAGCAATAGCTGATATCAAATGGGCTAGTGATTTAGCAAGGAGTAACATTGACATGGTATGGCAAAACTTGCGAGATAAGTGGTGTAAGCAAGAGCAGTTAGAAGGACAGGATGCTTTTACACCCAGTAATAATAGTAATGCTCCATCGCTGCGGCAATTTACTGGTCTTTATGTTTTTGTAAGTAGCTCGATGCCCAAACCGTTACTACAATCTTATTTGAGGGAGGCAAGTAAGTATGGAGGAGTCTTAGTATTTAAAGGTTTACCCGGTGGTAGTTTTAAAGAATTAACCAAGCTGGTTCTAGAATTAACTAGTGAGCAGGATAAGCGGCAGGAGCTAGCATCTATTATGCAGATAGACGATGAAGCGTATGAGAGATTTGAAATTGTATCAGTTCCAACTATCGTATTGTCGCAAACAGATGATTATCACCCAACTAAGCCAGCTATGATAAAGTTTGACAAGATGGTTGGTAATGTTGGAGTTAAATATGCTTTAACAGAATTTGCAAGGTCAGGAGAATTAACTAAGCAAGCCTTGGAGTGTTTAAAATGATTAATAGTTATAGTCATGTAATAGCAAGGCAACTAGATACAGCTATGGTTAAGCGACTCATATTAAATCAGTGGTGGCAAATTACCATAATGTTCATTGTTATACTGGCAAGTAGTAGTGCATTAGCAGATAGGGTACAAGTCAATAAGAATAAGATCAGTGATTTATTCGAGAAAGAAATAGATGATAAGCAAGCGACTCTTAAATTTATTGAGAACTCACAAAAGCAATCAGAGCAGGGGATATCGAGTAAAGGAGCTGTGCAAGAATTAGGAGTAGATGAGAATCTACTCGAGGGCAAAGCATCAGAACTGAATGCTATTAATGTTAATAACTTAGAAAGTAAAGGTCAAGAGGAAAGGGCTAAAGAAGAGAATAGTTACATAAATCAACTAGAAGTTGATTATCTAGACCCTAAGATTGTCAACCATAAAAGAGATATTGATAAAATCTCAGATGCCAGTAGTAAGTTAATGTCACGGTTAATGGAAGGTTTACGTGACCTTGATATTGATTGTAAAACTGTCAAGGGGGATAAAGAGTTAGAACCTGAATACGTCATTGAGATTGAAAAAGAACATTTTAAAGACACAATATACAATTAAAAATTCTGTGAGGAGCTACGTAATGAATATAGTTGTAGTGATAGTCTAATATTAAAATGTACCAAAACTGGAGTACGGTATAAAGAATGGCAAGATAGAGTAATGTATCTGGGAGGTTTTGAGTTTTGGTTTGATTATCATGGTTGGACACATACCATCAAATGCCGCAGAGGTTATTGGAGTGTGCATATGCGTCAAGATCCACATCTTAACCTTGAGCGTCGTAACATGATAGCGAATCGTTTAGGAGTAAAATTAGAACAAGTGGAGGGAGGTACAGCTCCTTGGGATGGTGAAGGTAAAATCACCCATGTTGAAGGAGTTCATCATGTCTTTCAAAGATATGCTATCAATTATAAATATAGGGATAGTTATCCAGTATGTGAAGAATGGGCAGAAGAGTGGATGGAGAGATGCAGGTTAAAATGATCAAACATCTTACCACGGATTATACATATAGATTTAATATTTTGACGTTACAAGTGGTGACTACACTGATTCTTTGGGCTTGTTTTGTCCACTCATCTGAGGCTGGTAATCGTTTTACCTCAAACTATCCTTGTATTGATAATGGTAAACATTGCACTAGTTCTGGCACAAGAACTGTACAAGGATTTGAGGTACACCGAGATTGTTGGGAATTTGCTTATAATAAAACATGTAATTATCCAAGTAAAAACGACTGTAAGAATTTTGCTCATTGTTATCTAGTCGCCGACTTGCCGTGTTTACTACGAGACAGTTATGGTAATTGTGTAAACTTACATAAAGAATTTTCTTGTAAAAGTTGGAATCCTGTAACTATCGATAAAGAAATGGTAAGAACTGGACTAGTTGAGAAAGAGGGTAAAGATAGACTGGTATGTAAAGGAGTACCTTGCATTGATGGTAACTGTGTTGATAAGAGCTATTTAACAGACGCTGATATGATGGACTCAGTATCAAAATTATATGCGGTAGGTCAGATGAAAGGAGCTACTGATCCAAACTTCAAATTATTTGAAGGATTTAGTCAAAGTTGCAGCAAAAAAGCTACTTCTTATACCAATTGCTGTTCTACTAGTTTAAAAGGTTGGGGTAAACATTTAGGGGCAAGATGCACAAAAAATGAAATCGATTTAATAGATAAACGACAAAAGAATTTGTGTGTTTATGTTGGAAAAGAAAATAAACAAACAATGGGTATTACAACAATAGTAAAGCATCATTATTGCTGTTTTGGTTCGCTGCTTAACAAAGTGATGCAAGTAGAGTCACGTCGGCAGCTTGGTATGAATTTTGGTAGTGGCAAATATACTAATTGTCGCGGCTTAACACTTGCAGAGATTATGAGGCTAGATTTTGATCGCATGGACTTCAGTGAATTCTTTGCCGATATTTTAAAAAGAATGAAGATACCAAAAGTAGGAGATATTAAAGCACGAGTGAATTCGTCACTACCAAGCGTACAAAAATACGACGGTAATCCGGATAACAAAAACAATAATAAGGCTGGCTGGAATAGTGAGCTTAAATTTGATTAGTAGTAAACAAATAAGATGCAAAGCGATAGCTAAGTACAAGTAATAGTTATGATCAATTATAGGACAATATTAGTTTTAATGTGCAGTATGTTACCTAGCATGAGTTATGCAAATTTCTTTGAACAACGTTATCGTGGTTGGTTATGGTTTGAAGAGAAGATGACAGATCAAGATATGATTTACAAGAATAATAGATTCGATGCATCGGAGCAGCTAAGTAACGATATTACCCCAGAGCAGGCTAAAGCAGAAATAGAGCAATTTGCTAAGGAACTTGCTGATCTCAAGTTTATGATGCTGGCTCGCCCCACCCCGGAAAATGTTAAGGCTTACCGAGATAAGGAAAAACAAATGTGGAAGCAAGCAGAAACGTTGCATGATAGCTGGGATATGGCAAATCTTCTTTATCCTGAGCAACGTGATCTTATCAATAATCCAGTAAATGTTCATGGGGTAAAAGCCAAAAGAGCGATGCAAGAAGCAAAGAATTTTCAGAAGATTCAGCAGTTAGCTAAGGAGTTTGATTTAGTATTATTTTTTAGCAAGCAGTGTCAATACTGTCAATTGTTAGCACCAGTGCTTAAAAATTTTGGTTCTCGATATGGTTTTAATATTGATGCGGTAAGTAACAGTGGTAGTAAACATGAATATTTTAAGACATACCAAGCTGATGGATTAATAGAACGTTTAAACATAAGTGAATTTCCTACAGTTATCGCTGTAAGTCATGATGCTAAAACAGCATTTGAACTAATTCGTGGCTATGTAAGCGAATCGGAATTGGCAGAATATAGTTTGCTGGCTGTAAAACATCTTGCAGATATCAAGAACAAAGTAGCTGTTGATAACAGTTTAATATCAAGTAATTTAGCAGAATGAGCAATAAAGCCTTAAATATTTTAAAATACATAGTAATCATTATTATATTTGGTAATCACACTATTTTTGCTAGTGGTATAGACAAGTTAATGAAATATGCAAGTCCTGATGGGAGCATGAGTAATGTTAACAAAGCAGCGATTATCAACGATCAGCAAGGCGGTTATATGACTGGTGGTTCAGTTATCTTAAGAGGTCCACGCCCAAAAACTTTGCAACCCCTAACAATACAAACTCCTAAACTAGAGTTTGATGCTTGTACCGGCTCTGCTGATTTTCGCTTTGGCGGGCTTAGTTATATTTCCAGCAGAGAGTTTACCCAGTTTTTTAAGAATATGGGTACGGCATCAGGTGCTTATGCTGTCAAAATGCTGATTAAATCATCCTGTCCTCAATGTGAAGATATCATGTCTTACATGGAAACGGTAGCAAGAGATGTTAATGGTACGATGATGGATCAATGTGCAGCAGGTCAAGCTCTAGCTAAGGGAGCATTTTCTATGATTAATAGTAGTAGTCAGCAAAGATGTTTAATACAAGGCAATATTGGTAAAACTAGTAAAGACATGTATGAGGCAAGCGACAAATGTAAAAATAATCCGGATCATCATGGTAATAGTGGAGAGGAAGATGAACTTAAATCCTTGCTTGGTAATGAATTTAATTTGGTATGGAAGGCACTTAG